GGATATTGATGCTGATCAAGAATATATACTTAGCTTGTCGTCTGCTTATATTATATTATACAAGTCCTTCGTAAACTTAGTTCTAAACAACCAAGTAAACCGACGCAGAAGAAAGCAAAGTAATTTAAAACAATTAATTAAACAAGAGTGTGTGTTATGCTGCCTTTGTCGGCCAAATAATTTTCGAGTTTTGGCAACATTCTTAATGGCCAAATTATCGCACATTAGACAAGTCATTAAAACGTCCAACACAATCCAATTTATGGCAATTACCAACTCCAGCTAACTATCTAGCATCTGGAATATGAGTCTATGTGGTGTCTGCGTTGGCTGCAACTCAACTCAATTGGAATTCGCAAGTCGTAAGCAAGAAGGCAGGGCAAAAAGTATCTGCGAAGTTGCAGATGTCGTTGCCAAGTCGTAGTTCGCCATTAACTAGGCCAAAAGGCTGCGCCAAATGCCAGATGGAAAATTATCAGGATGTGTCACACATGTTTTCGCCCCGCTTCATGTGTTTAATTGGATTTCCAGTCGTAAACGCGTCGAGCGAAGCAAAATTAGCAGCAAGAAGATATTCCGTACCCATTATAAACGCATAAAACCGGTATGATAAGGATGCGGTCACATTTGGTAACAGGCAAAATCATTCACGATTTTGTAAGGAGTATAATTTAGATCTTCAATACACTTTATTTCTATTTCTTAACCCATTTTACAGCTCACCACCTTAATATCGGACACCAGTAGAGCTGGAGGTAGCTAGGATTGCGTTGATTTTTGTGTACGCTTCTTTCAGACTTTCTTCCAAAATCGATAAATATCGAATATCAATTCTATTATTTGTCAGGGCTTATGTCAATTCCGCGTGTGTGAGGCTTTCATATAGATGGCCTGCGTAACGTAAGTAGGTTATTGATGGAAAAGTACGACAATATAGTACCTGAAATCTATTAAAATCGATTTATAAATTTCCTTTATTTGTGGGTCATCTCTGTTTTCGGAAATGTTGGCTGGCTAAACGGTGTCTTTTGGTTGTAAACTCTCCATTTATTAGTTAAGCAAAATACATTTGCGGGGAATCACATTAAATATAAACAAAATCGATAAATATCGATTTCCAATTTTATTATTTTAAAGAGTTCAGGCAAGTCTCGGGTCTATAAGGTTTTCCTGTGTTACTGGAAATCGGTATCTAAAAACGTTTTATTTGTGACATATCTGTTTTCGGACTTCTGGTCTAGGTAAATGGTATCTTGTGGTTGGATACTCTCAACTCATTCTGTAGGATATATTTGTGAGGAATCACATTAAATGTAACCAAAGGCAGCCGCGACTTGTGCGTTAAGAGCGGCGACATTCAAGTGTAAATTTCACTTGAACTGATAATTTCACTCAATTTGTGCGCGCTGATGAGCAAAGTTTTCCCATTTGCATTCGACTACGTGTGCGGCCAAAGCCACGCCCCCTCATACCCGATACCAGCCTCGAAAATAATACAGCCCGTCGAATGTCGAATTGGGGGTGGTATGCAAGTTTTCATCTCTTTTGCTTGGTTCTATTGCTCCGATTTCTTTTTGACGTCGTCGTCGTCGTCGTCTTCGCTGTCGGCGCTGACTTGAAGGTGCCAATTAGGGATTTCCGCCTCAATTACTTTTCGTGAGCACACGAAAACCCAAGTTTTGTATGATTTTCGCATGACAAACTTGAAACTTGCCGCACCGCACTTCTACCCGCCGCCCATCCGACCAAACTGAGTGCTGCTTCCTTTCCCAGAGTATTTACTTCCTTCAAAATGTAATTGGAGCAGCGCCTGTTCCTCCTTGCTCCCCCCCCCCAAAAAAAAAAATGAAGAAAAAAAACTTTTGTGCGTGCTAAAAAATTCATTTGCATTTTACATGTTCATCAGAAGATGGTAAAATAGTTTGTGTTGCTTCACCCCGGGGCGAATTGCTGATGAAGGCGGCGGCCTGGGCCTGGGCCAACAACTGGCAAAAATCAAAGGCGAACTAGCAATTTTTTGCGTGAGATTTTACCTAACAGCGAATTGGTTGCGCCTAAAGGTAAGAAATATCATAGTTCCAGCCCGAATTTCACATGCAAAATAATGCTCTCATTTGGGGAATGTGACGAATGACTCCATGCTGCTGTCAAAGCTTATAAGAGAATAAGCATGCTAATTTGACATAAACTTCAAGTGCGTTCCATTGTATACTCTGTTGGCAAAGTTAACAAAAGAGTAAGTTAGCTTTTTTAATATACATCTATCTTTATTTAAATATTTTGAAATCGTCTGTTATAGAAGGCTGCGTGGAAATTTTAGTTCTAGTATACACCAATTTATGTATTTTAAAATATTAAAAAAAAAGGCATGAGGTATTTTCTAAAAATATCTAGAAGGCATACAAAAAATTAAAGATTAAAGTCAGATTAAAATAATGTTAAAAATAAATATAATATTTAATTAAGCGCTTGGCATATTACTAAGAAACACATAAACAGATAATCTGTATAAATGTTTCAACTCAAATAATTTGATGACCACTGTATTTGCATATTAAGTTGTCCGTTGTTCTTCGTTTTCGGCATCTCTTCTTTATTCTCGGCTGTTTCCTAAATTTGAAATGCACCGTGAGAAATTTGTAACCTATTAATGAAATAATAAATAAATAATGAAATACGTATAAAATACTTAAGTGCTAATTAAGGCAGAAAGTATTCATTAAAATATTATAAAGAAGTTATTCTGTGTTGTACTCGAAAAAAAAACGGCATAATAAAATATGTACATCGATAATTTATTTCTGTGTATTAGTCAAATTTTCATTGGCGCGTGCCAAAAATGTGCTGCATTGCACTGATCTGAGTTTTTGCTCTAACTGTGCAGATGATTGTGGGACAAAACATGAATTTCTCAAATATTGAATTTGAATTAAAAGAAGGAAGTCGTGCAGGCGGCTCATTATTGTTGTTCACTCTGAATGAGCAACAAATTTATGTAAAAAACAAGGTGTTAAAGCTAGGTGACACGACATTACGTGTGCCGTGTCAGAGCCTATAGAGGCAGAGTGTATTTGAGCGCAGATAAGTAACGCATTTATTCCAAGTTGGAAAATATGCTGCATAATCATGGTCCGCAGGGCTATGAGATGAATAAAATCAGTGCCATAAGCGAAATTAAAAAGAAGTGCCAAAATAATCAAAATAAGAACACCAAACAATTATTTACTGATGTGCTCGCTGAGTAAGTACAAATCATATTGAACTTTTAATTAGTGGGAGACATGCGTACTTAGTATGCACATACCACATGTGTATACATACATGTTTTTATGCCTGTGCATATGTCTGTACATAAATAAAAGCAAGGACAAAATTTCGTAAAAAATTGTATATTACAGATACATATATGTATTAGCTTCTCTCTACTTTGCATACGAATATATACTTACGCATTTTTAGGCACGCAAATGTATATTTGTATGTACATGCATATACGAAGTAGAAAGAAACTAGCAACAAAATTTTATTTTTATTTACTGCATTCTATTTTTTTTTGTCTAATCAATTAGGAAAACTAAAGGAGAACAGAAGATTGAAATAAACTACGACGTTGTTAAACGCACTCTGCAAAGAAAGAGACAGTCCTTCTTACCAAAAACATCAACTTCTCCACAGGCCGTCCGTTTAGCTTTTGAAGACGCAAATGTGCAATTTTGGCATCACCAAGGGAAAAACGCCAAAACAGTTTTTCAAAAAAGTGTACTTATCGAGTTCCTTTGCGTACTGCATATTTGCTTCAGACAAGTTAACCGCTTTGATGCAGTCTAATATTCCGGAGCACAATAGGCATTTTTTAACTGATGCTACATACAAAGTATGCCCTTTCGGGGACTTCAAGGAACTTTTAATAATTTACATTAAAAAAGGTAACTTTTTTTTGTTTTGTTTAAAATAATTTATTAACTTAAATTTTATTTTTTGGATAACCCCATTTATATTTGTTTTGATGACGCGAAAAATGGAGTTCTGCTATCAGCATTTGTTCACATATATAGACTCCAACATTTGCTGCCTATGTTATGCTTGTTGGTTCCATTTTACACAAGCATGCAGAGAAAATGCAAAATTATCAACTGGTTTTGAGAATATGCTCAAAAGCAATAAACAAGCTTATTTGCTGTTTATGAAATTTTTGCATTTACCGCTCCTACCAGAGAGAGAAAATTGTCGAAGGCTTTAATCTACTGCAATGTCAAGCAATTGCTTTAAACAAGAATTTGTTTTCTCCGTTTTTAATATATTTTGAGAAGCAGTGGCGTCAAAAGGTATTTTTCATGTCGAATTTGAATTTTGTTTTAAATATGTTCCTTTTATTTTCATTTTAAATCACCTATCATCGGATGCTTCAAATTTAAGTCAAGTGTCCGTTTCTTCAATTGTTGAAATGAATCCATGCAATGTTTGCTTAAACAACCCAAATACCGTTTTATTGCGCCCATGAAATCATTTCAATATTTGTGGCACCTGTTGGGACCTGTTTTTATATACATTTAAAAAAATGTAACATGGTAATGGCAAACCGCCAATAAAAATATGGATTAAATAAAAAATAATTTTGAAATGTCTTTATTTACTCTGGTTAAATTAAACAGTTGCATAAGAATTAAGATCAAGCGATAACGCTGTAGTTGAGAGGGCCCAACTACGTGATTTGGAATCACCGGATTATCAGTTTAAAATGAAAACATAATAACTGAGAACGTCGTTTTTAGAACGTCTGATTTTCATTTTTAGAGCGGCGGAGCTATGTCGCTTCAAAACGACATAATCTCGCCATGATCAACGTTGGAGTTATGTCGACTCTTTCGAATTACTCACATTAACTACCAAAAAAATTCCTCACAAAAAAAACATCCGAATTTATTTATTTTTCAATATATTTATTTTGTTTCATAACATCGTATTGCTTAATTATTATTCATATAGTTTTTTAAAAAAATATATGTTTTACAGCATTTGAATATTTAGTTTTTAATTTATGTATCTACACTTAGCGGGTATTATCCGGCGTTGCCCAAGTAAGCTTGTCTGGTCTTTTCCAGCTTTTTTCCTTCTGTCCTCCCTTTTGTCAAGTTGTGACTGTATTTACCTGAAATAAATAATATTTAAAATATTAGTCGTCGTTCAAAAAGTAGACAAAACGTGATGTAATTGGACATTATTTGTCCGAGATACTCAAAAAAATCATCAAAACAGGTGTACTTTACAAACGAATCGGTTTTCGGTCAACAACTTTTTTGAACCAACCGATTTGTAATTTGTTTGAATGCCTTTTGTTAGTAGGGATCCGTACAAATTCAAAAAGGTGTAAAATTCCAAAATCTGACATTTTTTGGCCGAGATATTAAAAAACAATCATTAAAAAAGATTCGATTTTCGAACCGACCCCGATTTTGAAAAAAAAACGTGATGTAACCCTTGCCATTTGGTCAATTTTGGTCAAAATTTACATATTCATTTTTTTGATGCCAATCGTTAGTACTGTTCCTTACGAGTATAAAATGGTATACAATTCCAAAATCTGACATTTTTCGGCTGAGATATTACAAAAAATCATCAAAACAGGTGTACTTTACAAACGAATCGGTTTTCGGTCAACAACTTTTTTGAACCGACCGATTTGTAATTTGTTTAAATGCCATTTGTTAGTAGGGATCCGTACAAATTCAAAAAGGTGTAGACAAAATCTGACATTTTTTGGCCGAGATATTCAAAAAGAAAATGCCATTTTGACGATTTGGGTCAAAATTTAGATTTTCACCTTTTTAACTTTAACAACTTCATCTCTGCAAAATTTCATAAATATAGCTTTAAACCCGAGGGTTCGTATAGAAACAGACAGACGGAAAGACGGTCAGACGGACAGACGGACATGGCTATAACGACTCGGCTGTTGATGCTGATCAAAAATATATATACTTTATGGGGTCGGAGATGTCTCCTTCTATGCGTTACACATTTCACGACAAAATTATAATACCCTCTGCAAGGGTATAAAAAGACCGGAAGATACCAACCAACTAAGCTCTTGTTAAGATTAGGGCACACTAATCAATTGTTCAAGCGAATGTCAAATTGATAGTAAATGTTACGTTAACGTTTTCTCTGGTGGAATATACATCATTTGAGATGATGTTTTCATTGCAGTTTTAAATTAATTAAAATCTTGGTTCGTGTGCATTTACTAGTACGAAAAGTGAATCCGTTATCAAGCTCAATCCATCAGCATTTTGGCAACAAGGCTGGCCGAGAAGAGATGTTGGCTTCTTGGCTATCTAACAGCCTGACATTTTGGCCCTTTGTTCAAGTCATGCTCCATTCTGTGTAGCACTTAACATTATTGCATTGCAGCGAATCGAAGTGAATAGAATTGAATTATTTGGCGAGTGAGGTGAGTGAAAATGGGGAAAAGTTCAGCCCGAGACGGCAATATGTATGACGATTTTCATTTTACCCACCAATACGCTTAAGTGTAATTAAATTCGTCGCACTCCCCGCCCCAGGCGGCAGGGCTTGCCCGGGCTCATCGTTGAGGTCGTCAAATGGATTGATTTATGATGATGCCTTTGCTTTTGGCATTGCCTTCGCCTTTTCATCAGCCTCTCGCTGCCTGACGAGGCATGACATAATAAATTGCTGTCCTGCGTCCTTTGGCGATGACAACGAAGCTCACACATGACTTTTAGGAGTTGCAGCAGATTTGAAAATTAATTTGGAAAACTTTTTGTTGGTTCGTCGTTCTCCGTTCTCCGTTCGCCGTTCGCTGTTCGCATTCTATGCGTTATTTATATTTTATATTTATTATTTAATTTTCTTTTTGTTATGTACTTTTGCCTTTTGCAGTGCTTTGCTCTGCGTCTTTTTATGCTTGGCTGCTGCTGCTGCCAGTTTTGCCTCCTCTGCTGCTTTTTTCATACTCCGTTCAAAAAGTGAAAACGCGCTTATTGGTTTTGTGCAATGTCCGCCTGCCTGTCAAGAGCCTACGCCTTCAAGATGCACAAAAATTGGCGAGTTGCAACAATCTTTGACTTTCACAGTAATAGAGTGAATCATGGCGTCCAAAGTTCGAGCCGCAAACAGAGTATGCTGCAGTCGTTTGCACCCGACAGCAATGCTCTTGCTTGTTTTTTTGCTCTGTTGACGGCAAAGTTTAATTTTTATTGTTGTTTGACTTTGTTAAATGATTTTTATTGCCTTTTCTTTTGGACGCGAAGAAGAAGCCTTTGTAAGAATTTAATAAAACTGCTGGCGACCATATTGCCAGGCAAACAAATGCACAATGCTCGAGAGCCGAGCACATGCCTTACAAGCCGTACAAGCCAAGCAATTTCATCCCTGACCTCATCCTCCCAGCCGCTCTGCGCCTAGTCATAGCCATTTATTGAAACCCCCAACACCCCCGGCCTTGTCGCTTGTCGGTGTGCCGTGAGATATATGAGCGCCATTTGATTGTGCTACAAGGTGGTTTTCCAAAACTGTGAAATGTTTTGCAAATGTCAAACGCAAAAGAGTAACTTAAATTTGATTCATAACTCATACGCCGCGTGGCCCGCTTCGTGCACGTAATCAAATTGAATCAGGTAATAAGTAAAAATAAGCAAACTTGCCCAAAAACCACAACAAAGTCAACCAACCAATTTGTAACCGCGCAGTGCGCACATTTTTCCTTGCCAACTCCTGTTACCCTTTCCACACAGTTCATGCCCCATGACTCAAAGTTACCACAATAAAGGCGCCAGGCACTTGGATCTCAAGTATTTGACGCTTTTCAGAGAACTTTGTCGGCTCTGCAGCAAAAGAGGTGAAAATTTAATTTAATTTCTGAGATGCCAAACTTACTTAGCCGCATACCTTATATATTTTCTGTGCCTGCAATTTTCATCATTGGCTGTAGCATAATATTTCCAATACTCTATGTAAGGAAAGTTTTAAGTAACACTTGGAAATTTCATTGATAAAAGCTTTCAGTCATTAAAAACTATCGCTTATTTATAAAAAATAATAAAAGCTTTTGTCAAGCATTAAGTTTGTGTGTAATTACGAACATTCTAAATTCATAATGAATATAAAGCTTTTAATAAATAGTTTGCACAAAATAGCTGTTCACATGACAAAACAAATGTAATAGAATATTACAAATAAGCTGTTTTGGAAGCTTTGAAGCTTAGAAAGCAACTTTAATTAAGCACATTTTATTGTTTACAAGACACAATTATGGTAACAGTTATGTAGCAAATGGGAGAGCTTTTACGAAAGTTCTGTTTTAGAAGCTTTATCAGCAAATATTAGATTAAATGCAAATGTCATTAGTTAAGGAATAAGCTCAACTTTGAGCAAGAGCATGTATTGTAAAGCATCACAAAATTTAATTTTTGCAAGCTGCCAACTTAATCTTTTGATAAGCACATTAGATAATCCGATGATTGTGCCTGTAAAGAGAATCCTTAAAAACTCAATTATACAAAGCGCAGCTTAAAATGTTCCAAATCAAAATTAAGCTATCAGTGGGCTTAAAATAAATTAAACGAATTGAATTTGATTATTATGGTAAGACCAAATTTTGTGTACCAAAAAGCTGCAAGGCAGATAATGCAGGTGAAAGATAAATTTCGTTAAATTAATCAATAATATTTTCCATTTACAATTTATGGCCACCATTTTGTGCTGAAACACTTATTTTTTTGGCTGGATTAAGGCTGGGCATTAAATTTAAGCCGACTTTACCCGCATTATTTATCGTCATGGACTATTAATGGCTGCTTGTTCTATTTGAATTATTTGGCATTCAACAAATTACGGCTGTCCAATGCGAGCTTATGTCAAATGGGATTTAAGCATTTCAACTGTCAATTACAGAATTGCCAGAGCAAGTGCAACTGGACCGGGCTGCATCCCATGATTTGTGGCTATGACACTGGTGAATTAAACAAATTGAACTGTATTTTATACTGCTAAATTGTATGAATGGCTGTCAAGCCATCAAAGCTAGATTAGAGAGACAACAAATTGTGAGGCCCCCCCTTGCTCTGCCCCGAAGGCCCTCAAACCACGCCCTCTACAACAACATTCTGAGTGCGCTGTTCAACTGCATTTGTGTCAACTGTTTTGTTATGGATGCTTGCATCACAGAACGATATATCTCATTCTATATATACATATGTATGTCTATGCAACTTTCGTATATACTACCCGCTGCGGAGGGGCATACTGTGGCAATTGTGCTGAAGAGGACAATGTATGACTACGCATTGCGTCATTACGAGAGATACGCCCATTGTTCGAGCTGAAACAAAGCCAGGGCCCAGGCACTGCGTCAGTAACTCTAGTGTCTTTCCCTCCGTCCCACGTCCCATTGGCCATAGTTTTAATCTCACTAATGGCAGTGGCTTTAGTTCCAGACTATGAGGAGGCCAGTGATTGTTTGGGATTGTTTTGTGCAAGCAGCTTCAAAATCAAAAGAATTACGCGCATCCGTCAACCCAAAATAGAACTTGGCCCCGTGGCTCGGGTCAAAATGTCATTCACAGCCAACATTTTGTACAGCGAAAAGATGCACACGCCAAATACGTGCGCCGTAATCATAACACAGATCTGCAAGTGCACACAAATGGAGACATTTTCCCAGATAAAAAAGTGAAAATGTTGACCCAATAAGAATATATATAAGAATTTTTACATCTATTTAATTACTCTCTCCGGCATCATAATTGTATACCCTATAAACACACAAACAAGGAAATTAGACCGCAGCAACCGGAAGTTAATAATTTTAATAAATGATAACTTTAATGCATTGTTTTGTGTAGAGCTCAGATGAATGGCATGAAGAAGATTTAGGACCTAATCTTAGGGTATCTTCAGTCGAACACTACTATATTATACTGCACATGATGCATGTGAATTTCCTAGATACCAATTGGTCCTCTACCAAGTCCTTAAGATGATTGCCATTTTATTCGATTAACTGTCTGATTTTGTGTGGATATCGAAACATCAGGCTCAAACATTTATGGCGGAAAGTTTTATAAAATATTTTTGATCAATTTGAAAGGTATTTAATTTGCTTGGGCACATTTAGATTTAGTATTCCTGACCATACAATTCGTTAATAAAATCTAAAATGCGACATCAACATTCGATATAAATATCGACGAATAATTATCGATAAGGATACAAGATATCGGTAGTGCTCTTGCTAGGCTTACAGCACTAATAAATCTGCATATATAACTATATGCCTTTTTTTAGTAATTGAAGAATTTAAATTTAAATTGAATAGTTTATAGCTATAAAACTTAATTTTTGTATCATCCAACTACAGGGTATTTCAATATTTGACATACGCTATTTATGACAGAAAGCTCATAAATATTCGTATTTAATTTCAAGTAATTTGTGAAACGAATCGCATCGTAAGTTATCATAATTCGCAAATTTATTGTTAGTTAAGTTCGATTCAGACGTATGCAAATATTGATTGAACGTGAATCACCTGGCAACGGTAACAACAATAATATAAAAAGCAAACTTTTTTAAGCCATTCGAAGATTATTCATTCATATGTTTTGAAAGTCTTACGCATTCTATGAGTGATTCGGCATTCATTCATGAATACTACTTCGTATGCAACTGACTGTGTTCAGTGGCGCCTTAAAAAGATAATTTAATACGTGAGACATGTTACAAAAAAAAAACTATTTGATCTTGTTATTTATTGCTTTAATATTTAAATAGCGTTGTGATATTTGAGAAGTTGTGTGAAGAGTGAAGTTCTTAATTTGTTGAGCCTGGTCAAGATATTTTGATAAGCAAAAACATATTTTCTGACCGATTCTTCCTATTGAAATATATGATTTGGTATTAAAATTTCGTCAAGTTTTGTTGATACAACTTGAAAAATAAATGAATAACAACTTCATTTGTGACCGACCGTTTCTATGCCAGTTATTTGGTATAATAATAATGGTTAAAAAAAATGATATTCAGTACATTATGAAATTATTTACAGTGTAGTGTATTTTGTATTATTTACTTACTTGAAGCTTGCAATTGTTTGAATAATAATTCTATCGTTGAACACAATCGTGATGAATTATTGATTTGGATAGCCTATCGTCTCTTCCCCGGACATAATATCCATGACACATTATGACTGTGTCCCATTTCTTGAGAATCTCTCGTTGTTATCTTTAAATTTCGTCATGATCGAGATTCCATGAGGTCGCTTGCTGGAATCATATATATTTAAGCTGTGGAATATTTTGCTGCTTCTCAGTCAACGCCAATCGCTTTGGCCATAAACAGCTCAGACTCAGCCATGCAACCCAGCATATTATTTGCGGTCTTGTTCATTGCGCTAAGCAATTGCATTGTAGGTGAGTGGAATTTATATAGACTACTGAGCTTAAATTGTTTATGTAATTAGATTGTTTAGGGAATTTCTAAAACTTAAAAGCTTTAATCTAGATCACGTACTTTGCACAGATGCGGCAGCCAACGGCCGCCAGCGGTCCACACTTGGCAACCACGAAGGCAGCATCTTTCACAGAGTGACACGCCAGTCTCAGGCAACCAGCGAGGCGGAGCAGCTGGATAGATGTTTTAACCATGGAGGGTTCACACATGGACGTTTGCTGTTTATCTGGTACGACGAAGATGGAGCGATAGATCCGGTGAAGCACTTGAGAAAGATCCTCGTCGATGATCTAGATCTGTCCAAGCTAGTTTTCTCCATAGAGCGCGTTCGGGTGCATGGAAACCAAATGCTTTTCGATATGTCGAGCAGCTTGAACGCGAATCGGGTATTTCGTAATTATTGTAATCTTTTCGCAAGAATTTCTGAATATCGCTCGCAAGGCTACGATGATCCAGCCTTGACCTACAAAATTGTTAAAACGGATGAGCAATTTTTACGCTAGCCAATTCGTAAACTCAGGTATTAGAAAAGTATTTAAAATGTATTTTGGCAATTGATAAGCTTAAGTGTATAATTGTAAATTTTTAAGTATTAAATTTTATTTATAAAAATAATAAGCTTTTATTACGCTGTGAAAAGGGTATTGTACAGTCCGCATCACCCAATCGCAAGTACATAATTGAAATATATTCAATGTTTAATATGAATTGTGTGAGTCTTAAGCTATTATAGTGAAATTTGAGGAAAACATGTCCAATAAATACATTGAAAGAAATATAAAAAGTAGAGCGAAAGAAAAAACAAATAAACTGACGGTTTTTTAAGAATACGTTTTCCAACTATCATGGTTACTGTTTCTGTAAGTTTTTGTTCATATAGGTATGCATAAAAGTTGTGTGCAACGATAGTGGGGAACTGAGTAGAGGGTATTGCCTTGGCAGGCAACTTTAAACATTTACTTTTGGTTTCTCAGTATGCATCAGATTTCCTTTCGTGTGTTTTTATACTACAAATTTGTACAAGGTTTCAATTATAGCATAGATTTTGTAAAAGCATTCTTTGTTGCTGAAAAATGAAATAGTAGTTGCAGCACAGGTTCATTAATTTATCGTAGTCAAGGTAAAACAATTTAAGCTCATGAAAAGCATAAATAAATTGTCGTTGTCCATGCGCCAAATCGCTTTGCCCACCTGCGCCCAGGTGCTCCGATCTGGCCGTTGAACATGAACCAAATGCAATTAAGCTTTGTGCAACGTCAAAACGCATTTTGCGCCCAGCATGTCCCAGGTCAGAGTCGTTTATTGATGTTGTTGTGTTTCATATTAACTAGGCTCGCCCCCCTCAGCCCGCTGCTCGCTGCTGTCCTTGTTGTCGAGCTGGTCGTACACGGCCGCAGCGAAGGAAACGGGCGAGCGCAGCTTTACAATTTACACATTAATTATGAGCAGACATGTGTTGTAGGCGTATGCGGAGCTTGAACTTCGGCTGGTAGGCAGCAGGACCTGGCCCAGGACCAGAACCAGGAACAGTACCACGTCTGGTCGCGGGTGCCTAGTAGAGATGCGCGCAGGCCGTGCTTTTCGTATTTGACAGGCACGACAAGACAGATTCTCAAAATTGAGTAAAATAAAATATAGGACAACATCTGAATACCGGAAAGGAACGTCCGATTATTGAATTAAAATGCCTTGATAAAGATTTCAGGAAACAGTTAAAAGCATAAAACAAAAAATGTGTCGAGTACATTTTGAATTTCGTGCATTGTTCGTGTTCGGGCACGTGCTTACCGCCCGAAAGTATGCAAATGCAAGCAAAGCAAAATATGCCCCAGCCCCAGTCCTTGCTTTGGACTGTTTTATGGCAGCGAATTAATGAACGCAGCAAACGAGCAGCCGAACCAGCGACAGGCACGACGACAAGGACGACAATGAGAATGTGTAGCAGGATTGCAGCGCTAGGTAGGGCCATTATTTTGCCGGTGCCTGCTCGGCTGTCGGCTGTCGGCCGTCGGGCGCCGGCTGCCAGCTGCCCTGTACGCATAACAGGCGGCTGCCTGCGGTCGATTCTGGGTTGTGTTTCTTGTTTTGCGTGTGCCTCCGTGTGCAATAACAGCAATAATTTATCACTCCGGTCAAAATTATGCATGGAGTCAATTGTGCGTGAAATTAAATTTTAAGCGCAAACAAGACGACTTGTCGACTCGCCCTGTTTACTCCAATAATTTGGCTAATTTCACAAGTGAAGCATTGGCCCAGCCCTTGTCCCCTACCTATGCCCGACCCTAACCCGACAATTGTCATGTTGCACACAAATTAATTGAAAATATATCAAAGTGTGCATCCAATCTACCTGATGTTCAATGACAATTAATATGGCCACTACACATTTGGTTATTTATATACACAGGACATTTTGTGGGCGTTTCGGATACTCAAATTAAACGTCGTCTTTGACTAGGCTAAGATGTGCAGTTAATTAATTTGAATTTCAGCAAAGCAACTTTAAGTAGGGGCATTAATTAGGCGAAATACAGTTTTGTATTTTTGGTACTCATATTCATAATATGGCTTCTGCTATATTTTAAAATTTACATATTTCTAATTCAAATTATATTTCTATATTTCTTATTTAATTTAACTAATTAAAAATATATTGCATTTAAAAGCATAAAACCAAAATCTTTTCTTTGGTTTGTCAATGAAATTACTAAGACTGAAAGATGAAGTATCTCTGAAGTCACCTGCTAAACATTTTTGTTATCAATAAATTAATGGTCGAAAATAACTCACTAAGCCCCCAGTAGTGTACTTCTCTAAAGATTTACGCAAAAATACTTTTGGGCAAATCAAAAAAAATAGCAATATATCCTATGTGTTTCATTCGAATTTTATATTTATAGCATTTTAAGTGCCATGGTATTATATACTTGAAACAATTGTAGATATGCATTATACCCAGGTGTATGCAAAATGAAAATGTGTTGGATTGGATTTTTGTCGCCAAAGCGCCTTTGATTGCTTTAAAAATCATTTATTGAGTCGATTGACTTTAGAAGTGAAGTCTTTGCAAATAAACGCAATGTAATCTAAACTTACAATCGCCAGGGAAACACACACACACACACACATGCACACACACACATACACATGCACATACAAAGTTTTGTGTTGATTTAGAGGCAGTTGGTAAATGTAAGTGCTGTGTGCGCTCCTTAGTTTAGTTCAATTTGAAATTTATTGCGGCCGGAGTTCATTCACATGGCACGTTAAAGCTTCGGCTACAAGAGTCATTCGCATGAATAGACACACACACACACACACACTCACTTAAAGTGAGGCCGTGCTCAGTTAAGGACTGCCCCGACGAAATGCAAGCTGAGTCACACATGTCAATCCAATTTGTCGAAGAGCGTGATGTTGAGGTTGGTCTTGCTATGCTGCATTTACTGGGGTTTTCCTCAATCAGAATGCCTTCATTGTCTTATGCATATTGATTTAAATATGCTGTTACCCATTTAAATATCAGACAGATGATTGCGAAAATTGGTTATGCACGCATCTTGGCATTGGTCTGCTCTATTCAATTAAAGCACATGGGTAAACTTTGATATTTTGCTTTAAGGGGAATTAGTAAGCACACCTCAATCTTGTTAAAGCCATTCACAGCTTGTAAGCTTTTGTTAATAGCAGAATATATATAAATATTTTCTGTATAATTACCTTTGTTATCTTGATTAATTCAAACAAGGAATATGACTTAAAATGTACACGTTTGTATATAAATTTGATCTGATTCGATAATAAGGTGTTCTATTTTTAAAAGAAAGGCAATGTCTTACGAATCGCCTGTGCTCAAGCTTTCTGATATATTTTGGCTGTAGTAAAGGGAATCGCCCGTTTCTTCAATTTAGTGACATCAGCTGAACTTAGCTGAGTTGGTCTGGCCAAAAATATATATTTTTATATATCTCTATTAGTTTGTTGCAACAATATTAAAATTCACATATATACAACTTCGTTTATAAAGCGTTAAAAATGGCATAGTTAAACTAAACGCACTTAACAGTCAATTCTGTAAATAACAGACTATGTTATTAACAGGCTCTGCTATTAGTCTCCACAGCTCAAATTCAAACGTTGCAAAGCTACCACGGCTGCGCGTAACAGAATTTTCACGAAGCGACAAAATTGTTGCCGTGTGGAATGTAAACGTTGCATGGTGCGGTGCGTGGGGGGGTTGATGTTGGGCCTGCAAGGGGTGGGTGTATAAGTCTTTTCTGGGCAGGCTATGAGAAGCAACTGCAAGTAGACAGACATGCGCTAATGTTAACAAACATTATTTACGCTATAGTTGTGCCAGAAAAAATCGTATTTCTTTTTTTTTTTTTTTTTTTTTTTTTTTTTGTGGTTTAGCATAGACAAAAAATTTATTTGAATTAAATATTTACTGTATATTCAATTGCGTATATCAAAAGCAAAAATTCCACATCCAAGCTAGCGCTGAAGTGGTCAATTAAATTTATTCAATTTAATGCCAAAAAGGAGTTTCCCAACTTCATAACTACAGTTACTTTTACAAATCAAAAACAATTTCTATTTGGTTTGGGTTAACATATACACGTATTCCTCTTGCATATAAAGCTTGCCAATCATTAAATTACTATTTGTATACTCTTGAAGAGAGTATTTTAAATTTGTCATGAGGTGTGTAAAGCATAAAAGGAAAAATCTCCGACAATTCTTAATGCTGCGTTCAAACTTGGTAGCTTTTTATTCGAAATTTATAGTTTTATATATAGACCTAATGTGACAGAGTATCGCCAAGTTAGGTTAGATACTTTTTGCTTATTGCTTTTTGAATTGTTGTGCAATACACAGAATCGAGCTCGTAAATTTTGGTTTGGTGGCCAGCAAAAATATAATAAATAAAGGGGAAAAGCATCATAAATAAGAAACTGTAAGTCCCATAGCAAAATCCCAAATTGAAATTTGTAATTTGGCAAGAATTTTTTTGTAGTGCGCGCAGGCTTGTTCATGAGATAGGGATAAAGAAAGTGAGCTAGCAAAAGTTGGAGAGAGTCCGGAGCAGCTATTCTTATAATTCGTGTGCTTTCTGTCGGCCAAGCTGTCTGGCAACAATTATGTGGCATTGATGCCATGACAAGAGCCAAATAAATTGCTGGGCGGCGGGAATTGTACGCGGGCCCCGAGGGGTAAATGAACTGCAGCTGCTGTTGTGGCGTGTCAAAGGACAAAGGTCGTCGATGTCGCTGTGCATTTAATTTGCACTTGAATGGGAAATGGTAAAATAAACTGCACAATTACTGCATGCACTGCGACAACAATAGCAACAACAACAACAACAACAATAACAACGGCAACTGTAAAGACCAGATACAAATGGCCAACAATTTCAATTTGCTTTTTAAAACAGCAGCTTTGTTATTTCAGTTGCGGCCATTTCAGTTGCAGTTGTTGTTGTTGTTGTTCCTGTTTGCCGGTTGTCAAGTGGCTCGGTCCCTTGTCCCCTGCCCCCTTCTGCCACTTGTCTTTGCTCTGTGCCCTGATGGCGCTGCTTAATTAATTTATTTAATTACGTATACATTTGCATTCATTTTTAATCAGTTTGTAATGCAGCACTTCTGCCGCCCATTCAACATTTAATCATATGAAAAACGCAACTGTTTATTTTGCACGAGCGGCAACAAAGCCCAAAAACAAAACAACTTTAAGTTTGAAAGTC